ACATAAAAAAAACCCTCAAAATCTATTTCAGTTCCATCTATCCCCCCATCTATGATGTCTAAATGACAAAAATTTTTTTTTAGGTTGAATAGTATACCATTGTGTCTATGTACCATTATTTTTTCTACTTATCTCTTGTTGGACCCTTAGATTAACTATTATAAATAGTGTTACAACGAACAATGGAGTTCAGATATTTATTTGATGTATTTATATTCTTTTAGTTGTTTAGCTATGGGATTACAAGATCTTAATATGACTTTTAATGTTATGAGGACTACTGTGCTGTTTTTCATAATGGGTATACTATTTTACATTACCAGCAAGAATGTGCAAAGTTTCCTTTTCTTCTTCTCATTTTAAATTTACTTTATATTTATTGTAATGTATTTAGCATAGGATCTACAGGGTCTCATTACACAGATTGGACTCATAGTGATCCTCCTGCTTTCAGTCTCCCAAGTGCTGGGATTATAGGTGCACACCACCATGCCTAGTCTCAATTTCCTCTCAGCGCACCCAGGGTTACATACATTGCATTATATGTCATTAAACAAGTTCATCATTTGCAACGCTACAGCTTTACTTGCCTGGTGCTTTTCTAGGAAATTTTGTACTGTTTTGACATCTTCCTTATTTCACTTGAAGTGAAGGATTTCTTTGCCTTTTTTATTTTTTCTTTCCGTTTTTCATTTTATATATGTGGGGCAGGGGTGGGCCCAGCACGACAAGCTGGGGATCAAACCCTGGTTCCTGCATCTGCCTAAGCTGGCACTTTAGTCTGCTGAGCTATCAAGCCAGCCCTTCTCCTCATTCTAACACTGTTTTTTTGTTTGTTTGTTTGTTTGTTTTTTGACAATAGCCTTTCTAAACAGATACAAGACCATGAGTCATTGTAGCTTCAATTCTTACAGAATTTGAATATTGGCATTTTATCTGATGTATGGTTTGCCACTATTTTCTCCTTTTCTGGTATGCTGTTGTAGAGTTCTTTTGATCAGTACAAATAGATGTAGATTCTACCTTTTTGTGGTCTGGAGAATCTCTTGCAGCTTGGGGTAGGGAGTAGAGATTGGCAGTTAAAGTGGGAGTTCTTCAATCACACAGACATTTCCAAGCACAAGATAACTCATTTTGAAAGGTTAAGTCCTACATGTCACTGTTTTGTTTTTTTTTTTGTTTTTGTTTTTTGTTATTAAAAGACAATAGGGCAAGTGAGAGAAGGCTCCGTGGTCTAAAGCTCCCGCCTAGACAAGCTTAGGCAAAGCATAGGGACTGTGGATTGATCCCTGGCACCACATGCCATGCCAGCCCTGCCCCTAGGGAGGGCTGAGCTGGCCACAAAAATAAATAAGACAGTAATATAATAAAAGACCTAATTCCCTGGGTAGTACTGAAAGAAGTGATATATACATATATATGAACATATATATTAAAACCTTGATTTGCAACCATAATTTATTCCAGAAGCATTCTTGTCAATAAAACATTTATATATCGAAGTGAATTTTCTCATAAGAAATAATGGAAACTCAGATTCATTCCACAACCCAAATATATTCATATAAAAATGATCACAATACTGTAATATATTCCAAAACAATCAAGGAAGTACAAACTATAAAGAAAAATAAACAAATTAACCTTCATCAGCCTTTGAAAAGCTGCATGGTTGGTGTGAGAGCCAAGAGGAGCGAGGTCATCCTGCAGGGAGCTTTCAGGCCGCCACCGGGAGGCTGCCACCTCTTGGCTCAGTGGGATCTTTCTCTTTCTGTGCAACTTTAACACGGAATCTATCCAATGGATCTCTTTTTGCCTCTTTTTGAGAATTTCACAGAAATGTGGCATTATATGTTATTAAATGGGTTCATTATTTGTACCGCTACAGCTTTACCTGGTGCTTTTCTAGGAAATTTTGTACTGTTTTTCACATCTCCCTTGAAGTGAAGGATTTCTCTGCCTTTTTCATTTTTTCATTTTTTATATGTGTGGTACAGGGTCTCACTATGCACCTTGGACTCGTAGTGATCCTCCTATGTGCAGCCTCCCCAGCACTGGAACTACAGGTGTGCACCACCATGCCCGACTTGGTCGCTGGCTCAGTGTGCTCTGGGAGCGGTGCTGGCATGGCATGCAGAACCAGGGATCAAACCCTGGTAACCTGTGCTTGCCAAAGCAGGCACTTAATCCATTGAGGTATCTCGCCGGCTCTCCTCTTCCTTTTTCTTCTTTTGTGCTGTAGACAAGATGTCCTCCAGAACCTCTTACAGTTGTGAAATGATCACCCATAATCCCACAGCAAGAGAGAGAGAAGAACCTCTGGGATCATGTGACATTAGGCATCACTTGCTACTCGCTCCTTGCATTGCAAGACATTGCTCATTTATCAAGTTAAAATTATTAGAAACATTTACTCATCTTGCAGAACACTTGCAGAACAGAATATATATATATATATATATATATTCATGAGTGTGACAATTACTGGATCTCACATTGAAATATCCCAGTTGTTCCCACAACCAGACACCCACAGCTAATCACAGTAACTGGGATATTGCAAGGTTCTGTTCTTCTAGCTTTTTGCTGATACAAGAGCAGAGCTGTCTTACAACATGTAACACCTGGAAATCGATTTATGATGAAAACAAAAATAAGTTTTAATGGAAAGTTACCCAAAATATTTTTAGAAGCTTGCTATAGCAGTGGGAGTTAATTTAAATTATCATTTTATGTGAGAACATTCAATCTGCAGGATATAGTAAACTTAGGAAAACTTGGTTTCAGAAATAATTTAAAATAGAAAAAATAATTGTGTGTTTTTCTTTTGATGTTATGTGTGGTCAGATATCAAACTCCTCACTTAATGTCTATACAAGTAGGCTGAAGCATACTTTATTATATGATAGGGCCAAATTCAGCCCCATAACTAAAAAGCTTTATTATTATGTTACCTACTCTCATATAAGGAGATAAAAAAGACATGCATGCAATGGGCTGTGCTAGCCATAGTTTATGAGCAAACAGCACTTGGTGCACAAACATTTTTTGTTTTGATCCTGTCCTGACATTTAACATTTTGCAAACAAAATGTAATCAAAAGGAATGATAAGATTTCAGCTCTGTAAAAGTCACTACATTTCAGACAATATAATGCCTAAGCATGTCTAGCTTGTTCAGATTTATTTATATAGACTAATTCTGCTTGGCTACCCTGAGAATTATTTTACTGTAATTTGATAGTAAAGCAGGATAGTCATAACATCTTAATGCTTAAAATATGTGCAATTTAAATTTAGGGTAGTTTGGTATCTGACTCTCCTAGAAATTTTTATTGTATACATACGATTTAAATCAAATTATATATAAACCTGGTTTACCCTCAGTAATCCAAAATGGTAGCTGCTGTTCCCCCTGCAGAGAGGAAATTGGGGGAAACCCTTGAAGTCATGTAGTGGGTCCAGCTCTTCTACTTGTCCTGCTACACTTCACTGTGGCCTCTGTTTATCTTAACAGCACCTCACACAGGTCAGCCACTGCTCAGGGTTCTGTACTTACTCAGAATCTGAGATATTCATTGTACAACGGAATCCAAGTAGATAAGAAATCTGAAGTCTTAGATGTGGTGTGGATAGAGGTGGGGACTATGCACAGGTCCTCCTGGCCAGGGTCATGGACCATGAACTAGTTATACATTCCACTTTTGTGCATCTGAAAAAGTGATCAAAGGATGAAACTCTTCAATTTCAGTTTATAAAATGGAGAAAACAAGGTTCGGAATCCACGTCTCCCAGACACAGAAGAACTGCTGCAATTCTAGGTGCGGGAAGAGTGCAGGGTATCGGCTACCGAGCGTGGCTCCTAGGAGATACGCCTTTAGAGGACCAAAAAAGGCACAGAGATGCACCATGATGAGGACTGAGCCTATCTTGTGTATTTTTCAATTCAGTGGTGTTTGAGGACCTTTTGTATGAGTGTAATTTTTATTACAGCCATGGAAAACTGAAGCTAGGTGATGATAAATTGGATGCCAGGAAGTGGAGCCAGTTGTGCTCCCCGAAATTACAGCCACTGCCTCCTGTGACTGTTGAGCACTGATAATGTGGCTCCTGGTGGCTGAGTTCCTCCATATGTGCACAAGATTTCAAAGAGTGTCAAAATGAGAATGTGTGGGCTGAGGAGGTAGCTCAGTCATCCAAGCTCCTGCCTGGCAACTGCAAGGACCTGGGTTTGATCCCCAGTACCCCGTAGTGAGATGTTATGCCAAATAAATAAAGCAAGAATGTAAAGAAGTCATTGCTAATTTTTATATTGGTTACATGCTGATGAGACATGTTGTATATATTGAGTCAATGAACATACACTAATTATTTCACAAGCTTGTTTTTTTATTTTTTAAAATGTGGCTGCTACATGACTTAAAATCACATATTACAGATCACATTTATTGCCATTGGACAGCAATGGTATGCACCATTTTTTTTAAGATAGCAGGCAAGGCATTTCTTGGTGCATTTCTAGGTGGAAATGTTAAGTCAGGAGGAAAGGCTTTTAAGCTTGTCCATGCCCACTGGAAAGGAAGAGGTTGAGGAATGAGGAGAGAGACCTTGCCTGACGGGGCACAGTTTTCTTAGAGGTGACACTAGGAATCCCACTTAATAGACAGATTCAGAGGAGAGCTCATCCTCTAAGCTAGGACAATCAAAGATGTGAGGATAAGTCTAAGTGCACATCAGTATGCAGATGAGGGTATACACAGGAAGTTGAAGCCACATGGTATATAACAGATATTCCGGTTTAATCGATCTTGTATGAAAACTAAGAGGGACATGTGTGACCTACTACTTTTCGATAAAATTAAAATTTTGTATGATTGGGATTATAAATGTTTTGTTTTTCTTACATAGAAGTTTCTAGTGTATAGAAATTTGATTAAAACTGGGTGCTGACATCTGATCTAAAGATGAAGTGCTCTTCTTGACATGTTGTATTATTTGTAGGAGAATTTGACACCGTGCAGAGCCCCTCCACACCCATCAAAGATCTTGATGATCGAACATGTAGGAACTCTGGATCGAAGTCCCGGGGAAGAGGCCGGAAAAATAACCCCTCTCCACCTCCCGACAGTGACCTGGAGGTATGCCTATTTATTGTGAAGGGGCATGATGTGCTGCCTTGTTTTGTTGAATGACACATTCCATACCTCATACTCCCATTAAATTTCAACGTTTTTAAATTAAAAAAAGAATGTATCATGAATCAAGGGGACTTGCCTTGTCATAGGCATTTTACAACTCAGATTTTATCTATTGTCATGACAAATGTAAAAATAGCAACAGTTCAAAAGTAATAGTATTTTACAAGTTCTAGGCCTAATGTAATTTTGTATTTGATTTAAATTAGCACACACAGGACCTCTAAAAAGAAAGATATTGTTTATAAAAATAATTTTCTAAGAAACACTGTTTGGTAGTCCTAAACTAATGAAAGACAGATATGTATACATCAATATGTTTGATAACATAAAAGTAATCTGTACGGAAAAGAAAAATCATTTTCTGACAGAGGGAGAATGTTATTCCTTTGACATGTGTTAAATTGTTATATTTTGTGAAAATTTTAATGTACATCTTTTTCCACTTGTGATCACTTTTGAGATATATCTACACCAAGAAGATTGATTTTTTATTATGAAATATTAAGGTGCTAAGTGAAATAAATCTAACACAAACCCAAAATACAGATAAAGAGGAGCAGAATAAAAGACCAATAGCAGGAACTAAGGAGATGGATCTTTCTCAGATGGAAGGAGAGAGAGGAAAGACAGGGAAAGGGGATGAAAATCTAGTTGAGGACTATGATGTCCATGCACCAACTCCCAGAAGAAATGTGATCATTATGTGCCGCAAGTGCATACTAATAAAACTAAAAACCGGAATAAAACATTAGGAGAAACTGTTCTTAAGAACGTATTTCAGGAGATGAAAAATAATTAAAATTTCAGATTTAGTACCAATTAATAGACATCATTCCTCTCTGTGAGTGAGTTTCCTGTACTTGAATGACAGTGTCTGGTGAGTTAATGAGTGACCAGCCTGGGAGTCCTGCAGACTAGGGAAGGAGGGGGGCTCAGAGATTCCGTGACACTGGGGACCTTGCTCTCACTGCCTCTCGGGAGCATCAGCCAGCCTGGCCAGAACTTCAGATTCTCTGTTGCAGTCAAACTGTGAAGTTTGGTGAAATCTAATATAGAAAAAATGGGGAATAATGGACGATCTTCTCAAAGTCTCTGCAGGCCAAACAACACATCCACAGGCCTAATCGGACCCAAGGATCCGCGCTTACAATTTGTGCTCAGGGAGACCTCAGTGATGCTTTGAAATATTTTTAAAATTGAATTCTTTGTACAAATTGAAAAATGTCATGCAACCATATACTATGAAAGTTTATGTAGAAGTTAAGCACACATTTATCATAAATGCTGAATATGTCTTACATTTTGGTAATAACTACAAGTAATTGTGCAAATTCACTCAAATTAGGATGTCTCTTACATTTTGCCTATGTATAAATCAATTGATCTTTCTATCTCCTTATCTACTTGCGGCACTGGGAACCCAAGGCCTGTGCACTGAGCTACAGACATTCTTAGCCCTTTGTGTGGGTTTCTCTCTATATTGCCCAGGATGGCCTCTACTTGGCAGTCATCCTGCCTCAGTCTCTCAAGTAGCTCCGATTTGTAAATTTATAATCATTTGTAGTGTTTATTTTCTTCAGGCTTTATCATGGTTGAATTTGGGAAGTTAAAAGTAAATATAATGAGATAACATAGTCGTGTATGAAATGACATCAAGACCCTACTCAGAAATGCAGAAAGATGTTTTCTGTTTATTTTTATTTCCTTCAACTTGACAGTTTCCAATTTTCTTTTTCTAGCGTGTGTTTGTCTGGGATTTGGATGAAACCATCATTGTTTTTCACTCTCTCCTCACTGGATCTTATGCACAGAAGTACGGCAAGGTAGGAAACCAAGGCACTGTGGACCAAGAAATCCTGTTAGCCTGTATTTTGCTCAAAAATTAAGGTCCATTTTATAATACTTTTAACATCTTTTATTCTAGTCAAATCTCTTCTTAATTAGCCATTTCTGGTAGTTTATTTTTCTGTAATGGTTACTGAAGATTTTACAAAGCTAAGTAGAAATTGGATTCCTTTTCTAGACTTTATAAAGACTTTGTTTTCTACATCCAGACCAAGTTTCTTACCCTTATGTTATTATTTTAGATAGTTAAATAAATTGAAAACATCATCATAAAATCATAGAGTATTCCCTACCAGGAGAACTTTCAGGGATCATTTGAAGTAAGCTAGCGCACTATATAATGCCATTCAAAAATAGTAGTGTCTTTACCTAACCATTAGGCTAAGAACATGTTGGCCTGTCATACATTATTGTCATCAAAGTGGTATCCAACTTTGGTTCCTTTACCTGTCACACAGAAGTGTCTCATTGCCTTCCTGGCAACATGTTACTTAATAGTGCCCCATGTCAGCTCAATGTGTAGTTTTTAGCAACCACGTAAACATCGTCTTCTAAACAAGTGATGATGAACTGCTTCCAAGCATGCATTCCTTCATTGCTCTTTGGTGGCCCTGCATGGATATTTTTTGGCATGGGTAATGGTGTTTTAAAGTAAATGTGAAATATAATTGATTTTAATGATAGTCTTAGAAAAGTCTTAGATCTTTTTTATCATATTCATCATCTAAAACAAACATCTGTAAAGTCTTATCTATACCCATGCACCACACATAGATCATCTAGAGATGAGGACAAAAAATATTAAAATGAGATCACACATATTTTACCTCATGTTTATTAATTTGTAGAGTCTATTTCATAATGGACACATTTTATAAACACATAGTCTTAGTCTGGGTTGACTATTATCAAAAATAATATAACAGGCTGAATGACTTTAACAACCAATAATTATGTCTCACAGTCTGGAGGCTAGGAAAGAAGAGATCAAGGTGTTAGCAGATGAAGTTATGGTGAGGAGTTGCTTCCTGGTTTGCAGATAGCCATCTTCTTGCTGTAGTTTTACATGTAAGAGAGCAAAAAGAAAGTCAATAAGTTCTCGTACCTTTCTCTAAGGGTGCTAACTCTATATGTGTGTGACCAGCCCCTGGCTCCCTAAGGCCCTACCTCCCTGTACCATCACAATGCAAGTTAGAAGTTCAGTATAGAAATTTCATCTGTAGCATAACTGCAAGTTAGCTTTCCATC